TCCATTAGTCATTAGAGAAATGCCAACTGAAACACAATGAAATAGAACTGTATTCCCACCAGCATGGAGGCATGACTAACATGAAAAGGATGAACACACCAACTCTTGGGGAGGATGTGGAGCAATCAGAACCAGAACAACCCCTCTGGACAATTACTTGTCAGTGTCTAGTAAAACTGAACACATATGCAAACTCTATGACCCAAGCAATTCTGCTCTTGGTATATGCCCAATGAAAACACATCCGTTTGTTCACCAATCGTGCCTCAAATGTTCACACCAGCATGATGCATATAGCTTTAAACTGACAGCTTGTCCATCAACAGATGACTAGATAAAGAAGATGCAGTGTATATATACAATGAAACACTACTCACTCATAAAAAACAGTAAAATAATGCCATTTGCAGCAACGTGGATGGACTTGGAGATCGTCATTGTAAGTGAAGTAAGCCAGAAAGAGAAAGAAAAATGCCACATGATATCACTTAAATGTGGAATCTAAAAAAAAAAAAGAACACACTATCTATTTATTATTTATAACTTAGATAATTGATCCCCTGCACTGCATATGTGTAAGCACATTTGACTGTCCTTTGTGACTGGATTACTACAGTCTGTTGATTCTTATTTGGCTTTATTCCTTTAATAACATCTAAGTTTGAAAAGCTAAAGCTCTAAACTGTTCTTACAGAACAGTACATATATGTAAATTTTAAAATGGTTTTATCTCTCAATGAGTTGCTCTTCCTAGAATAAACCTTGTTTACCCCCAAAAATAAATAAAATAAAATAAAAAATAAACTGACAGCTACCCAAGTGTCCACTGATAACAGAATGAATAAATTAATCTTGAAATAATCATATAATGGAAAACTATATAGCAATGAAAAGAAATCATCTACAAATACACACAATAATATGGATAAATCTTGTAAACACAAAGTTGAGTCAAAGAAGCTGAAACCAAAAGAGGAAAGACATCTTGCGTGATTCCACTGACATAAAGTATTAAAACAGGCAAACTTCATCCCCACTGTCAGAAGTCAGGGTAACAGCAGAGGGTAGTGACTGGAGGGCAATTCAAGGGGAGTTGATGCTGGTGTGTTCAATTTGCTAAAATGAATCAAACTATACAGTTACCATATGTGCGCTTTTCTACATGTCTATTAGACTTCAATGAAAGTTTTTATTTTAAGTGTGCAGTGTCATCAAAATGGAAACTGCTATTTTTTGTTTTTGTTCTTCACAAGTGAGGAGCTCAGAACAGAAGTGAGGTGCCTGTCTTCCCAGTGGGCAGATAAATTGGGCTGAGAGAAAAAAGCCCAATTTTAGGACATTAGAGACGAGTCTGTGTAGACCCAAGTTGTGGCTTGTTAGCTGGCCGCGCACCAACCCGCTTCTCAAACAGCCGCTGCCCAAGAGACAGGGCCCGGGGAGGGGGCAAGAGGCTGGAAGACAGAGGCTGAGATCCCACACTAATTCCGAGGGACGGTCCAGCCTCCCCCATACCCTGCCCTCCAAAGCAGAACTCCCATTTGTGTTAGGGGCATGTTTATGTCACCCAGTAACCCTGGAGAAATCACTCCTTCCCCACTCCCAGTCCACATGGTTGTGCTGGGCAGACCCCACCACCAGCTCAGGGATGAGGTTGTGCTAAGCCTACCAGAGCCAATCAGAGACATTTAATGGAATTACTACGGACTTGGGAAGGAGGACTGAGCCGGCAGCATGGAAGCCTGGAGCTGTCGGCTCCCCATTTTCGCTACGACATAGAGAGAAACCTGTCGGAGAATGAAGCAGAAAGAGGAAGCAAAAAAAGGAAGCAAAAATGAAAAATAAGAGCCACCTTCTTGAAATCTTCTTAGAGCACCTAGCTGTAGATGTGCCTAAGGTCACATCCTGCACTCATTACATAAACCAATGAATTCTGTTTTGCTTAGGGCAGGCTAAGTTACATTTGTCACTTACGTCACTATGACAAATGTTCCCTGTCGCCACTCTCCAGAAGCCTGTGTGCACTCTCCGAGACTAAAAAGGGCATAACGCTACCCTGTGCTAACCACAGTTACAGGCATCCCTCGCAGTCCCAGAGCCCACGGTATCCTCACAATTCACCTATGTATTCACCGTTGTGATGATCCATTTGGTCATCACAGAAATGCCAAGAGACACAGGCTGCAAGTATTACTATTCCCACTTTCTTGGCCACCCTAGACTTCTCGAGAGCTGGCAAGGACGTTGGGGACATCTAACTGACTCCTCTTGCTATCACGAGGAGAAGAATGAGGCTCAAGGGAAGAAGAAGCAGCCAGGACACAACCAGAGCATAACAAAACTACAAAGGGCTTGAGAATTCCTCTAAAGGGTCAAAGCCAACAGTATTAAATTAAGCCTGTGATGTTGTCTGAACCCAAGATTTGAGAATCTGGCTTTAATCCTTGTTCATAAAGAGAATCTCATCGGATCCACAACCTGATATTAGAATAATAATGGGGACCTTTTACTGAGCATCCATCATCCAGCATAAAGCTACACATTCATTCATTCTCATAGGATCTTTCTTTGAGGCAGATTCTGCTCTGAGCTCAATTTTGCAGATGCGGAAGCTGAGGCTTAAGCAGGTTAGGTAGCTTGCCCCAAATCACCCAGTCAAAGAGCAGAGCTGAGCCCCAACAACAAAGGCTGGGGCTGGACTGAGGCACCAAGGAGAGTCGCTCATGCCAAGACTTGACTTATGGGGTCCATTGTCCCATCTTCTGCCCACTGCTGGAAGGTTGCCTCCTTCTGCTCTGACATCCACTTCCTTCAGCATTTCTATTTCCTGAGCAAGGAAGCCCTCACCAATTAACTGAGATCCCTCTATCTGTCAACGGCACCATTTCCTTTTAGACAACCAGTCCTCCCTTCTGAGTTAACACACCTCTGGGTCAATAATTCAGGCTGGATCATCCGCACACCCACCAGTCAGCTGCCTTCATCCTCCACACAGCCAGTAGAGCCGCCTTTTATAAAACTTAAATCAGATCACACTACTTCACACCCTCCAGGATGGCTAGCATCAAAGTGTGGACAAGGATGGACAGAAATTAGAACCCTCATTATGCTGCCAATGGGAATGAAAAATGGTGCTGTTGCTCTGGAAAACAGCCTGGCAGTTCCTCAGGAGGTGAAATATAGTTACCCTATGACCCAACGATTCCACTCCTAGGTATATACCCCTCAAAGAAGTGAAAATGTGTGTTCACACAAAAACTTGTACACAAATAGTCATAACAGCATTGATATTCACAATAGCCAAGAAGTAGAAACAACCAAAATGTGCATCAACTGACGAATGGTAAAGAAAATGTGGCTTATCCATAGGATGGGATACTATTCAGCCATAAAAAGTACTGAGGCAGGCTACGACACAGATGAGTCGGGAAAACATGATGCTAGTGAAAGAAGTCACATATAAAGGACTACGTGTTATGATTCCACTTCTATGGAATGTCCAGAACAGACAAACCTACAGAGGGAAAACGCAGATTAGTGGTTGCCAGGGGCTGGAGGGAGAGGGGACTTGGGAGGCACAGGCTTTACTTTGGGAGTGATGGGAATGTTCTGGAATTAGTTAATGGTGATGGTTACACAACATTATGAATATGTTAAAAACCAACGAATTGTACACTTTAAAATGGTTAAATGGTGAATTTTATGGTACATGATTTTATCTCAATTTTTTAAATGTTTTAGACTCCCTCTCCCCCTAAAATAATCAGATCACAAAGCTACCCTCTCACCACACTTTAAAACCCGCCAACGGCTACCCACTACACTAGGAGTCAAGCCCCAATTCCCCACCAGGGCCCATAAGTCCCTACCAGGGCCAGGCCCCTGCCACCTCTCCCACCTCTCCTACTACTTTCCCCCTCACTCCTTCCGTTCCTCCCTCACCTCCTGACCTTTGCCCTTATTCATTCCTCAATCTGGAATGTTCTTTCCCACAGCTGGCTTATCATCGGGCAAGTCTCTGTCCAAAGTCCTCACCACCTCCACCCAGAGGCCCCCACCGACCACTCCATCTAAAACGCAGCTCCATAAAGCTCCATCCCATGACCCTCCTTTATTTCTTCATAGTCCTTCTCGCCCACTGAAAAGATATATTTTTTTACAAAACTGTTTACTTCTTTGTTGGCTATCGTTCCAACCAAGAGGGCAGGGACCTTGTCTGTCATGCCCACAGCTGTGAATTAACCTGCCATATAGAAGCTACTTGACGGGGGAGGGTAGAGCTCCGTGGTAGAGTGCCTGCTTAGCGTGCACAGGGTTCAATCCCCAGTACCTCCATTAAGAAAGAAAGAAAGAAATCTAATTATCTCCCCCAGCACCAATCAATCAATCAATCAATCAATAATTTTTTAATTAAAAAAAAAAGAAGCTACTTGAGAAGCACTTCTGGAAAGAACTGAACAACTTCCCGTAAGATCTGAAATGCAGCCCACTACCTGCTCAGGAGTCCGGAGCACTAAGGGATCTCCTCGCCCTGCAGGTGCTCAGGGAGTTAATCAGCATTTGCTAGGCCCTCAGCGCCAAGCCCCGCCCCAGACCTGTCTGGAACCCTGAGGAAGCAGGAAGAAGGAGCCCTCCCCTTGGAAGTCTGAAAGTCTTTCAGGGGTCACACAGCACCCAGTATTCACCCAGCAACCCACAAACAAACGCAAAGGAGATCTAAGCTTGCCTTGCAGACACCCAAGCTGGAGGCTGGGGTCCAAATCAGCCTCATAAAACTGCACTGGCAAACACCCTCTGACACAGCTTCTTATGGCTTTGCAATCTGACCTGTTCTCCAGAATGAGACGGTTGCAGCTCACACCTGCTCCTGCCTCCTCCCATGGAGAGTTTCTTTTCAGAGGCAGTTAAAAATCTAAACAGGCAGGTGGTACAGGCCTCCTTCCCTGCTCCTCCTTCCTCCTTCAGCATCTCCCAGCCGCGCTCACACACACGTAGCAACTTACCCACCAGGAGCTTGACATCTCGAACTGTGAAATCAGGGTCAGGCATCCTGCAAAAAGAGGAACACAGGCATCTGGTAAGAAGCCAGAAACAAAAGTCAGACCCAACAATGGGGGCAGAGGCAGGCCACTTTTCCTAAGAGGGTTCCCTCGTTCTCAAGTTGGGAACCCAAAATAAGATAACTCAAAGGGAGGGTAGTGACCAGTTGGTGCCTCAAGGGTCAGTCACTGCTGAACCAGGGAGCAGCTTCCTCACATCATAGACAATACACACCCCTCACTGTCCCTGACACCTAAACTCATCACTGCTACAGAAAAGAGGATGGGACATCCACTGTCCACCCTACATTTCCAGCGAAGACTGTCAAGGGTAACTGCCAGAGTTGGGCATCCAAACACCAGCTTTCTTTCAGGGTGGGTGGCCCTCTCTGTGGCTCCTCTTCTAGAAAATACTCTCTGTAAGGAGTTGTACAGAGGCTGGGAGGGGCCCCTTTAAGAGGGGAAAAAAAAACCACATCACTGGCCATAATGACTGTGGTTATGTTCACTATAAACAATGATGCTGAAGGTTTAATTTCTATTCATAGGAATAGACTCTCGGGCAAGCCTGGAAGTAATGCTGGGAGGCGGGCCGGTCGTGATGACACCCACAGCTGCCTCCCCACCCCTGCCCAAGGGGCGGAAACCTGTTCTTCCAGCCTGCCTCCCGGATCTCTCCCCAACCTGGACCCCTGACAGCACTTGAAGAGAATGTAAATCAAACAAGACACAGAGAGGAGGCAGGTGCTGGAGCAGGAGGAGAACGGGGAGACAGGCCTGGCATCCTGGGAAACAAGCCCCTCACAGAAAAGGACCGGTTTCCCACACAGTGGGAGTCTGAGCAGAAAATATGTGTGTGTCAGTGTCCTGCCTCTGGGCCTAGAGGCTGGCCAGTCCCTTCACAGCCCAGGCCCCGCCTCAGTTTCCTGATTTGAGGGAGGAGGGCACAATTCTCCTTAGGAAGTCACTGCATGTAACTGGGTGGATCAGGGAAAAAAGCTCACACCGTTTTAAGTACCCTGTGTCCCCTTTGCCCAGATTCTCCAAAAATCAAGACCTAACCTTTAGAGAGTTTTTCCCCTTTGTCGGGCTTTAATACTATCCCCAAATAATGAAGAAAGATCCTTCTCAGTGATGAGAAGAAGGGAAAAGAGGGGAAGAAATCCATCCTGAGCTATAAACTGTCTTTGGGAAGGTGACAGGGGAAGAAGCGATTAGTTTCAGCAACTTACTTAATTCCCAGTCCATCCTTTTCTCGAAATATCAGGGGAACTCTGAGAGCTTCTCTTTGCACGTACTCATAGTTGAAGTCTGTTTGGATATTGGAATGAAAACAGGTTGGTTAAGTCAGGAAGGAGCAAATGAACCACGATCCATTGGTCAGGGGAAGAAAAACGATGAAGGAAGGGGCAGGGGTTACACCAGATGCAGGGGCCAGCTCAAAGGGCAAGAGCTCCCTGGAAAATGACAAAGAAGTAGATTAGGCAAAGGCCAAGAAAAGCCATGCCAACTATCAGCTCCTCTGCCTACTCAGTCATTCCCTGCATGCCCCACGGGTCAGAACTTGTCAATGAACAGCCCAAGGCCAGCGTGGGTTGGGGAGGGAGACTCATGAAAGAGCCCCACACAGCAAGAGCCCCAGCCAGCACTGCCGAGGAGGGACAGACAGAGAAACGCATCCCGGGCCGAGCTCAGAAAGTAAAGGAACTGCAAAATTGAAGAATGCCACCTGGGAGGATCTGAAGCCCCAGAGAGGAGGCTGGGAGGAGGGTTCTCATTGTAGCTGAGCATCAGGGAAGATCTTATTGTAATATCCTGCATAGTGAAGGGGAGAGGGGGAAAGCCGGTTTCCCTGGAAACTGTGTATTTGGTGCCAAAATAACTAGGGAACTGGGCACAGCTTTGTTGTCTTAATAGTGAAATTCTGCTGCAGCCATCACAACACTTGCTTCAGATGGATAACTGAGAGGGATGCTTCCCCGGGAGAAGGCGGCGTGAAGGGGGCATAGTACGGCCTAAAGCAAATTCACAGGGCAGTTTTCTGTCTGACTGACGTTTGTCTAGTGGAGACCCCCAACATCCTTATTGAAAGCCCTGGAGAATGAAGGAAGCCTTAGTTTCTATCCTCCCCAAAGCAAAGGATCTGACCCAACCATATCCCTAAATATGGAGGTGACGGAGGCGGAGATAAATCCTCACATCCTCAAGTCCTCAGGTAACTGAACCAATCCACAAGGGCACAAGCGCTCCCTGGCCGGCCGGTCTGAAGGAAGATGGACGAGACCCCAGGCCACTGAAGCCCCTGCCCCAGGGAAACAGCTCACCAAGGCAGCTTGGGGGTGGGGGGGAGTGGGGCTGGGGGTGGGGTGGGGGAGGCCAAGACAACTCTGCTCAGAGGAGAGAGAGAACAAAACCAGAGCTGGGGAAAGCCCTGACCTTAGCAGCTCAGATCCCCAGGGGCTCCCAGTGAATGGGGATTCCTAAGGATTTAAAGGCAGAGAAGTTTAAGAAGCTTCTACTTTGAATCCAGGCTAAGGGCTCGTTCTGTTTCTCAGCTCCTCCCTCAAGTTTTGGAGTGAGATCTGAATTAACAGCCAAAAACCCTAGAGCCTTCTTCTTTGAAAGGAGCCTGGACAGCAGATTTAAGGAATATCCCTTGCTGGAAACCTGCCACCCCATCCCCCCACCCAATACACACACACACCCAAAGTCCACCCCCACGGTCAGCTTCGACTTCCTCAAATGAGCCTGAGAAAACACTCTGAGATCCTGGGCAGAGAATTCCTCAGCAACAATCAGGAAGAGATGCATACTGTTTTCTCCTAGGATCCGCCAAAGGACTCAATAAAAAATGGGGAAGAAAGGAGAGAAATTAAAATCCCATTTGTGGTAAGGAAATTTAAATGCAGGTGAGACTAGACCCCTGGACTGTCCACCCCCATGTGCAATGCTCTTAAGACCTGGCAGGCTGGAAGAAATTTCTTCTTCCCTCCCCCCACAACTACCCCCTACCACGGAAGCCAAGCGCTCCAGGAAGCAATGGGCACAAAAGAGAAACTTCAAAAATGCAAAGCCAGGACTGTCTCTTCCAGGGACTAACCCCCCAGCCCCAGCCACTCAACCGGAACCTGGAGGCCAGAGACGTTTCCCATTATCGGCTCACTAAGGGATGGAAGAGTTTTCCAAAGCGGAAGGTGGATAAACAAAATGGAAACAGTAATATAAAGGAAGCCCAAATATCTGAGGGGGTAAAATGAACTTACAGGCCTCAGAAGGGCATAGGGATATGCATAAGAAGGCAGAGGCAAATCTAAAATCCCAACCCCACAGGCAGAACCAGCGGCCATGTGGGCCTTAGACCCAAGCCAGAGCATCAGCGCAACATCTGGAAGACACCCCCAGACACCTTGCTAGTACCAGGGTCAGGGAGAAATTCAGGCCCTAAAGGTCTCAGGCTAGGGTGACACTTCAAAACTCCATAGACTTCTCCAATTTCTGCTCTAAAACCGCAGGCCACACAAAAGGGACAGACCTCTCAAGGCCTCAGGCCTGGGAAAAGACCCTGTTTCCCAAAGCGGTGCCCCAAGTCTTCACCTCAGACTGCCAGAGGACAGCCTTAAGCCTGAGGGGGGGGACAACCCTCTCACCTGCAGTCCCCACTTCAAACCGGCAGGGCTGCAGGGCTGGAGGCCTCAGGCTTAAGTGCGGGACCAGCCAACAACTCACCCACCCTGCTCCAATCTGGCAAAGCCCACAAGGTGATGGGGCTCAGCTGACCTGAGGAGGTGTCATTCAATGACCCGGAGTGTCCCCAGAGCCAGGCCCTAACTGGCAGGGCCCGAAATGGCACGGGGTTTGGGAGTCTTCAGGCCTGGGGGGTGGACCCTCACCCTAAGGCCCCTGGGGTGCTCCAGCCCGCTCGGGACAGCCGGCTGCCCCTCGTGCGCAAGGAGCTGGTTCGGCTCCGGGAGGGGTAGAACGCGACGCACCCGCCCTCCCTCGGTCCGCCCGTCTGTCCCCAGGTCCCTCTGTCCGCCGGCCCCCTGGCTCTGCCCACCGTAGGGCTGGTGGTGGCGCGGGCCGGGCCTAGGCCCATGCCCGGCCCCCGTTCCCGACTGCCCTCCTCCCTCGCCACCCCACCCCACCCCCCCCAGTGCTCGGCCTCGTTTCGTCACCGGATCCCCTGGAATGGGGGACGCGGGCGCGAAATACGAACCCAGCCACCGGCAGCTCCCTCCCCACGTGCGCTCGGGCCGCGGCGCGGAGGATGGCCTGAGGAGGGGGCGTCTCACCTTTGCCCTCCATGGCGTGCACGAAGTCCCCCTGGTACAGCTGGCTGCGCAGCTTCTCCTCCAGGCTGAAGCCGCGGACGCTGACGATCTCCTCCACGTCCGACAAGTCCTCGTTCTCGTCGTATCTCTGGCGGTCAATCGGGCGCTGCGGGGACCCAAACCAGAGAGCCCGGGACATTATTGGGGGATCCGGGGGTCGCCTCTCACCCTGGGCCCAGCTCGAACAGGTGCAGAAGCCGCGCGCCCCCTGCACCCCACCATTGCGACCTGAACAACTTTGCGCAGATGCCAAAGATGCTGAAAATCAGGATAACTAGAGGGGCCCGCACCCCCAGGGTCAAGCTGCGCCCTATACAGGGCACTCCCCTCTTGCATCTTTGGAGGCCATGGAAAGGATATCTAAGGGACTCTCCCTTGCCCCCCACCCTCGATAAGTGTTGAGTTTTGCTCACTCGACCCGGACTCTGGTTATGTAACCCGCGAAGGGGGCTCGGCGCACGGGCTGGCGGGGCATTTGTAGGCCCCGGAGGAGCCGCCGCAGCTCCCGGCTCGGCGCTAACAGCAGCCCTGGCGGCCGCGGCGGCAAAGCCGGGAAGCCGGAACCGGGGGCCGGCGGCATTTCTAAGACTGGAGCCGCCCCCGAGCTACCCGGGAAGCTGGAAAGCTGAAATGGAAGGGCTGAAGCCCCCGCCGACCGCCCGCCAGTGCGAGAAGAAGAGGTGGGAGGGGGGGTTCGGGGCTTGGGAGTGGGAGAGGCAGACGGCCCGCCACAAAGCTCCCATCGGAGACCCCAAAACGCACCAGCAGCTGCCTCATCTCCCCACAAGCGCGCGCGCACACTCACTTCCTAAGGAGACTCCCCCACCACTCCCCGCATCCCCTGCCTCCTCCCTCCACCGCCGAGCGCCCGGCCCCGCAGCCCCCTAGATTCCGGGCGAACCCCGAGCCCGCTGAGCCTCGCTCCACGCCTTTCCCCGCTACCACCTCCCCACTTAAGTGTCTGAGACTCTGAGCCTCACAAGGGACTGGAGGAGTAAGCTGCTTGCTTCCTTTTGCATGCAATTTATTATATTTTTTTCCGGTCCTCTTGCAAAATACAGAAAAGGAAAGAAAAGGCAGCAAGAAACGACAACAAAAAATAGATCTATCATATACCAGATACAGATTTGGAAAAAAAAAAAAGCTACACACCAATCTTCTTCCAGAGTCTTTCTCTGCCTCCATTTTTTTAGGAGAGTTCACCAATTAATTGTCAACACTCCTGCCCCCTGCATTTTGGCGGAGGGGGAAAGGAGGGAAGACCAAAGAAAACAAACCAAAAAATAAATAAATAAAGTAAGCCAGAGCCGAGATCTACAAAGTTTTGCACCAACACTTAAGCAGATCCGTTTGCAAAGTCCTAGGAAACCATTTTCAGCAGTTGTGGGGGGGGGAGGCGTCGACGTCATAATCCCCGGAACGTAAACATTGTTGCCGATCGCGCTCTGAGCCCGCTGCCGGGCTAGTTGTGGGGGGGCACTCGGCCCAGGATGGGGGGGCGGGGGCGA